GGCCAGACGAGCGTATTCGGCGCCGGCCCCGCAGCTGGTGCCGCGTTAAGCGCTGCCGAGACGGTGACTGCAACGGGGGGAGCCCGCGGGCGGTGCCGTGTGGGCGCGCGGCGCCGCTGCACACTTAACCCCTGCAGCCGCTCCCCTCGCCCCCAGGAAGGGGCTTTCCGTGTCCAACTCCTGAAAGACAAAACTTGTGATTTGACTGGAATCCTAAAAAAGACATGCTTAAATTCAGATAAGGAAATATGTTTAAGCTTGCTTTGTTGTTCAACTCTCAAGGCTGTAGGAGCTTCTGTTGGAATGGAAGGGAGGTGTCCCTCTCTCCCTCACTGCTGTGCGTTTATACGACAGCACCTGTGTTCCAAAACAAATGGGGGAGGGAGGTGGAGCCTACTCTGGGTGCTGTACAGATGTGTATAATATGTTTTTTTTTCAGGTGAATAAAGGCTCATCTGTATTAAAACGCTTTGCAATATAAGTACATTCTAAATTAAACCAAACTGGTCTGAGCTACTGGTAAACTAACCTAAAGTACTTCAGTACTGGCAGTTCACCTTAATAGAATGAAAAGTATTTTAAACCTGGCATAACTGGAGCAGCAGTGTTTTCCTTATGTAGATGATGTCAGGACTGAGGAAGGATGGAATCTAGGGAAGAAAATAAGGATAATGTTAATCACAGTATATTTTTAAAATCAGATTATGTGATGTCATAGAGTTGATGAGTACAAGTCTTGGTGGTGACCAAGAATGGAGAGCCAAAGAGGTATGCAGGCTAGAATTCATTGGGGAACACATGCACTTAGGCAGATAGCATGTTAATGTAACTATGCATAAATTGAGGCTAAGATCCTTAACTTCCATGAAGTTGTCTGTGTAGCATTTATGTTGGTGTAAGATTCTGCTTTAAGTGCTTGATACGAAGCAGATGACAAGTATGATAAGAAGTAGAAGTGTGATATGAAGTAGTTAGGTTGAGAAGAAGCAGAGACAGAGATTAGCTATTGAGTATAATTTTGTTTTTTAAAAGGACTAGTAGTGTGTTTGAAAGTTAGGTATGGTTTAGGTACTTTGAATTGGGATGCAGATGGAGAAGAATATTAATAGTAAGCCACTATTGTTTTAATCAACATTTTCCTCAAATATACTTCTGTTTTTGAAATCGTGAGAGTGTTGTTGGAAAAATACTTTTGATATGAAAGGCTGTGGTTTGTGGTGGACAATGTATTTCCTTAAATTACTGGAATGTAATTTGTGGCGAGGATAGGAGCATAAACCTGTTCTTCATGCTTTTTCTGAGCTTGTCTGTGTTCTCCATCCATATCACATGGTTGAAGAAAACAGATTATTTCTCCCACTGAACTTGCTTGCTCTTGGCGCTCTCTGCATCATTTAACTAATATACCCTGTCTTGCTGCATCTGTGAATCTTTGTACCCTTAGCAGGGATAGATCTTAGGTATTTGGTCTGGAATGGAGTCCTGTGGATTCACCTTACAAGGCATGCATGGATATTATGTTTCTTTTCCACCTCTGTCACCATAGGTGTCTGTGGCTGTGGGATTGCATTGGAGGCTGGCTGTGGTATCACAGTATCTCTTCTCTTTTCAAGACACGCTGAACAGTGGTGCAAAGCCTCTGCCGTTTCCCTTGCAGAATGTGACAGTGCTGTCTCCTTGTTATTTTGTGTATACTGCTGTTGGCTACTGTCTGCATGCTTATCATTGTGTCTATTGTGCAGTGACAGAACTCTGAAGCAGCCCTGCTTGTCTTCTTGTCGTTCTGTGGCCAGCAAAGTTAATGAAATGTCAAACATTAGAGTATGTTGGAGTGCCTCCTAAAGGCAGCTATTTTATGGCTTGTCATTATGGAAATGCTAAAAGAAAAAAATCTAATAACCGTACTGGGATTGTTTAGATCAATTTTTTTTTTTGTCTTTGAGAATCTGAAACAGAGGGTATATTCGTGTGATAGAGAATATGGTTTTGTAGACATCATACCGGTTGTGAAGAGCTTTGTATTTGCAAGTGCAGGTAAACCATAAGTTTGTGTATCAGATGGTCTCCTTCAACATCCTCTCTTTCATGGACCTCGGGGAGTCTTTATGGTGAACCCTTCTTTGGGCTAACTGGCCTCCAGAACTTTCCTAGAAGCAATGCTGAGTACACCTGACAGAATGTGGAGGACAATCATCTTTTCTGTGTTGAGGAAGAAAAGATTTGTGTGGTAGAACCCTAACTTAACTCTGCACCTCACCTTGTCTTTTGTTGTGTCTCCCTGATTGGGAAATGTTACTGCAGTAGTTGTTGGGATGTACCTTAATTAAGATCAGGCCAGTGTATCTTGTCTGCTTTTATTTCTGCCACCATGTTTTGGACATCACTTTCCAGACTTTTTACCTGGGCTGCTGGGCATATACCTTAATATACATTTTGCCTTTTTGAATTTCTCAATGGCTTTCATGTCATGTCCTCCTTTAACTTGATAACCCATATTTTGTTGTGTTAGTGCATTCATATATACCTATATCCATTTCTTAGTTACAAAGTTTGCTATTGAATGCTCTTTCATATTTTATTTTTTAAAGCTTTTTTGTTAGCTACTGACTTTGTTATCTCTATTGCATTAATATGCTCAGATCTCAGCGTGCTTTTCCTGATAGAGTTTGACTTTCACTCAGCTGAAATATAACCAGATTAAGGTATATGACTTAGTTTGTGTGTATGCATATAGTTCTAAAATGTCTTAGTAATTTCCTGGGTTTATCATGAAGGTAATTCATGAGAAGGTATTTTCCTCTAGCTTAATGCATTTTGAGGTTAGCTTTGCCACAAGGTAGAAAGTACTTCAGTTTTACAAACCTCAGCTTGCTTTTTTTCCTGCTTTGTGGAGCTATTGCATGACTGATGAAGGTCTCTAAAAATTATCCAGGTGGAGATGGTTCTGTTCAAAGCACAGTAGGCCAGGTGCTCTTTGTGGTGACTTTCTAATTTGTATAATACTTGTGTTTGGGGTTGTCCAGGTGTCAGACACACAAAACAGTGACCTGGATTTTCCAAGACTTGAAAAGATTTATTATTCTAGTGACTGTTATTGGATTTTTTAATATTTTTTTTAACCGTTCCTTGAATTGTCATCTTACATACATTTCTTCATTTGATCAAAGACTGAATTTCCAGAGCTTGGCGGCAGCAAAACCTCTCTTGACTGCTATTTCCATAACATTCTGCCACCAGTACTGACGGTGACAAGTGTTCATTGATTGGAATTGCTTTTACTGTGGTTTCTAAGGCAACTAGCACACCTAGCCATAAAAATGAATGTTGCAGAATAAAAGTAGCATGCAAGAAAGTCCTAGCCCTACCACAGTTACCTGATTTTTCTGTAAAACATTAATAGAAAAGCCACAGTGCCTTAAAATAGATTGCAAACGAGGCATTCCATTTGTTCTGTGAAGCATCTGCCAAATTTCATGTGTATCTCAAAATGCAGAAACTCAAAAAATTGCATTTGATGCATGACTACTTTTTAGATTTTATCTGAACTTTTCAGATTCTTTCTGAGATGTGGCAAAGGATCACTTTCAGCCCATACAAAACTAAACTTAAGACTTCTTTGTACTATCTGGAAGGGAAAAGAAAATCTGATGTCTTTATTTTTTTGTATAGATGCTAATCTTGAAATACTTTTATGTTGCCGTGTCTTAATAACTGCAGAGAAAATCTTTTAGCCAGATTTACATGTGTTTCCTTCTGAAAGTAAAGATGAGAACTCACGACTAATAGCTTCAAAATTTTTCTTCACTGCAAACCACACTGAATTAAAGTGGTGGTGGTTTTTTTTTTTTTTTTTTTTATACTTCCCTTCAGATGATGGACAAGTGGAAGAAGATTATGCATTTGCAGTAAAATGTAAAACATGCGTAATTTCCTTGTAAACGTCATGTAGGAGTAGGATGAAAAGAGACTGTCCAAATACACTTTGAATGAGCATGTCAATTATTGCTACAAAACCACATAAAGTAGAAGGTAACTGTAAGAAGTTATTTGAGTTGTGCAGCTCACAGGTACATTCAGTCTTTTTACTACTGTGGGCCATCTTCTCTGTGTTACAGGCTCAGAAGGAGCTCTAAGTGTTGTGGTGTGCTACAACTTCTGTGCAACAACGTGGCAGTATTGCATGGCAAGGTTCACTCAAAGGTCCAACAGCAGTAGTGGTAGGTGTATAAAAGTATTGGACACAAAGTCCTCATGGTGTGTGATTGCTTAAGGTTTAAACCTACTTCTGGATGCTCAGACTTCCTGACTTAACAACAGTTTCTTCTCTTGATCTCCATTAAGATTGTTTCATCTTTGTCCAGTTGATAAGGCTCTGAAATTTCTCAGTGTCACAAATGTGAAAAGATTGAGAAGTACTGCTGCAAACTTTGAAAATTCCATCTTTGGGGCATGCTTTTTTCAGGTAGCAACCTGAAGTAGCCTTACTCACTGCCTCATTTTTAATTTATATATCTCTGGGTTTTTAATATTGTTTCTCTTCTCATTTTGTCTCTGTCTACTTTCTGTCCTGCTGTGGGGGGAAAAAAGAGGAGTTATTGTTGTTACTTTCAATTAGAGTACAAGCTGTTAGAACTGTGGGCTCTGAAATACTTACGTCTACAAACAGCACATCGTAAGTAAGATTAAAGTGTAGCTTCTGAGATGACAAGGGATTAGATCAGGACTCAAGCCCAGTTTCTTCTTGTATCACAGACTTTTTCCATCTCTGCTTTGCGGATTCCTGATATGGGAACTAACTGTTTTGCTGGAAAGTATTTCACGCTGATTCTCAGGAAAGTTAAGATTAATAACTGTCCCCAGTCAAACCTAAGTTCACTGTGCAGGCAAGCACAAGCTGAAAGCCAAATCATTATATTTGTGTTTAGGTTATAATGCATCCAACTGAGTGATTGATTTGTAGCTTGTAAAAATTCCAAATCTGGATTAACCTCAGTTCTTGTAGGCAGTTTTCCTCAAGTCACTCTCCTACTGCTGCTGTGGCATGTATGTGTGTGCCCCCATAGGTGTCAGAACACAGACTTCATGGCCTTCAGGGGTCAATCTGGCTTTATATGGTCATTTTAGCTTAGGAAGCAGTCTAGATATGTTTGTGTGATATGGGGTCGGGCTGAAAGGCAACTGACAGAGAAGCACAGGGTATACATTACCAGAAGCAATTGTCTCATCCAAAGATTTTACTCACATGAAGTTAGAAAGGCAGCTCTGTTGTTGTGACAGCTGACATTCCTGCTTAAGTGTGTGGGTCATTTAAAATTACTATTATGGTCATGTTCTTATCCTTCCCCCATAATTTACGTACCGGAAGCAAATACTGGCATAATTTTGGGGAGTTTTAAAGTTTTGTTAGATGTGTCTTGTTTGTGTTGCTTTTCATTGGGTAAAGATGTGAAATCCAAGTGGACAGAACTCAGAAATAGGAATTGTGTTTAATAAATTTTAAGTACATAGAAACACAAATCCAAATAGAAAAGTTGCCTAAAAATTAAAGCATTTTGGACTCCACTGTTACAGTATCTCCTACAGTCAAGTATAAGGATGTTACATTAAAATGGAGATGTTTTGTCTGTTTATCGATGTAACATTGCAATTTACAGTGCTGATAATTCTCAGAAAATTTAATCTCTTACTGCTGGATGGAGGGTTTCTTGGTTTGGATTTTTTTAATTTCCCATTAAAATTAAATGACTTTATTTTTGTTACTGCTGACTGAAGGGTGAACTGTAAGTTTGGAATATAATGGAGGATGATTGAACTGCTAGCCCTGGTACAGACTGGGTAATCAAGATTTATGTGAAATTTGTATCTAGATCTTTATTTATCTTGTATTTGTACCACATATATCCCCATTGCAAAGGCAGGAGGCTTAGCGGTTATAGTTAAGAGACGTTTGCTATCTGTTTTGACCTCATGAAGCACATAGTGATGTGCTTAATGTGTCATGATGGTATGAGGTAATATGTGGTAATGAATATAGATTTTGAATTTCGTATTCTAGGATTACTTTTTCTTGCTTGACAATTTTATCTTTGTTCAGGTTGGTGGGGGAAGCCTATGAAATGCTGTTCTTTCCTTATGCTTTTGAATTAAAATAATTGTTTAATTTTTCTTTGTGTGTAGGCTAAAAAAAGACTGACAAAACAAGTAGCAACATACTAAGCATAAGATTGAGTGTAGTGCAGCTGTCCTGTTCGAAGCATTAAGTTTACTGTTGGTTTTTCTTCCTTTAGAATAAACACAGATTTCAAACATGGTTATAAGCCATCACCTGCTTTTGAACTCTGATCACATCATGACTAAATACTTAATTTAATCATAGCTTTTGCTTCCAGTCAGGACACAGATATTTCTTTTCCTTTGGGGGGTAAGATGAAAACCAGACAGCAATGGCTGCTAGAGATTGTGCACATTGTAAGGAGTGTCCCCTGCAGTAATGAGTTTATGCACTGCGAACCTTGTTCAGCAGGAATGATATTTGGTAATGGCAGGCTGTAGCGTTGCAGGAGATCTAAGGCTAGTTGCCTTGCGTACACTGATGAAGCGTTTCTATTCCAGCTCTGTCTCTGAAGATCTGGGTTGCAGACGTGGAGAGTTTAGCAGAAAGCATTATGGATCTGTGGAGCTTGTAAGTCTACATAGCCTGTCCTTTGATTTTAGCAGCTTATAATGCAGGGCTCAAATCCTTTTCATTTGCAGGTAAAAAAATTGATCTAGTTTGGAAAGTATGCTTTCTAAGCTGGACTTGAAAGTTATAGGGTAATTAAAAGAGGCTTCAGAATAGATATATTAGACCTGTGCTAGAAAATCTTTCTATTACCTTATTAATGAATATTTCATCGTAATGGGACAGGAAGTGCTATATAAATATCGTGTTTAGCCCCAGATGGATATTGAGTCTTTTTTCCTCTTGTAAGCTGAAGATTGCAAAATATTAGGGTTGCATTTGATAAAGTACTTGCAATTACGTGAATTAAAAACTGTGTGCATGCTTGTGTCTGTACTTGTATACGTGTGTATGTGATTTTATGTGTACATGCCTCAGAGTAGTGGGAAAAGGTTTAAAATTGAAATCAGAATAAGGATATTGAAAACTCTTCCCCGAAGTCTGTCAGTTATTTTGCATTTTCTTCAAAGATAAGTTGGCATGTTGTTTTTCTCATATATAAGTTTCTTCTCCGCTGTGAAAATAGCAGTATGTCAACAGTTAAAGTAATGTCACACTCTATACAAGGTGATAATGAAATTACATAAACTTACTATAGGAAAACGGAAGAGGGGAGTGGTAAAGAAACTGAACTCCAGCTCTCTTACTGTGGGAAGAAGTCACTCATTTCCTTCTAGCTATAGTTGTAATTTAAAGTTCTTGGATAGAATATTTATTAATATGCATGTAAATTGGGTGTAAATTAGTAGCTTAGTGGCTGAAAGTTGCATTGCTAGAACACCAGGTATCTTTCTTCTCTTTCCATAGATTCCACATATTAGATGTGGTGTTTTAATCAAAGAAGCAACTGCTTTCTGCTATGAGGGTCTTTCATTACTAGTACTTAGATTCTTTTGCTGGAAGAGAAAAATTTATTGGTAATTATAAATTCACAGTAAGCTCACACAAACGGTCTTGTCTTTTGATTGTTTTTCTTAAAATTCTGCTAGTATTTTATGAAAATGTGTCTTTTTGTCTTTTGGAGTACAAACGTATAAAGGGGCTTGTCCTTTCAGATTTCTAAGTGTATAATATTGAGCCTTTCTTGCTTAATGTTTTCCACAGCAGCATCTCAATTGCTCAATTATCTCCACCTTTTATTTATTACAATGCAGTTGTTTTGTCTCTGTTCTAAACATTTTTTCCCATGTCTTTCCCACTGGTATAATATGACCAGTTTGTCCATATCATTTCTCTTATAGTTCATACAAGGCACCAGGATGTGTTGGAGTTTTTGCTGTGTTAGTTTATTTCTGACATAGCCTGAGATCACTTCAAAGCAAGGAGAAAAGACAACTTAAAATGTTGTGATAACTCTTCCACCAAGTAAAGGGACTGTGTATTATCCTAGAATAACATGGATTGTCAGAGGGAAGCACAGAATTATATACCATTGCATTATTATCCAGATCCCATTTCATAAGTTTGGTATGATATGTGGCAGTCTCATTTTAACAGTTTTGAGAGGAGTAGCATGCAATATCATTGGCTGCATTCTCCTCTTGTGGGGATCCTAAGCAGTGTTGCTGAACACATCAGAATTGTCTTGTCATCCTATGTTTTACTGACTTCTCAAGAGCTTTATTAACAGCAAAGAGAGTTTCAGTGTTCTGGGAAACCCTGGATTCCCTTATAAAAAGACCAGGCAGATCTTTCCAGAGCATTTATGAAACTGTTGAAGTCTTCAGTTGGAAACAAGCTGTATTTTCTGATGTTAATGCTGGAAGCAGACCAGGACATTTCCTGTACCTTATGTTGTTCGGTATCATCGCTATTATGTTTGGAGATTCTTGCTGCTCTCTGTTGCATGAAAACATCAATGAATAAAATGCAGTAAAAGACTGCTAGTCCCAGTAATACTGCCAAACAAGTAGAGTTTTAGGCTTAGCAAGACTGAGAGGACAAGAGTCATCATGTCTGTAAGACCCATTTTTTGGAAAGGAGCAAGCTTCAAAATCAATTTCTGGAAAGCAGGTAAGTCCCTCTGTAGGCTTACTGTGTGTTGGTGCAGCCAAAATCTGAGACAGGAGAACTTCTGGTTAGTACTGAGATCTACCAAAAGAGTGAACGGCTCTCCCACTCATGTCTCCTTAGAGTTATAATTGGGTCATTCCAAATCTGCAGTCAAATCAATAATAGCTGTGCTGATCCCTTCTCTGTGGGTAGTCATATGATGCCTGGGAGAAGAAACTATAGTAAGCTTTGATTACTGATCACATGGCTATTTTTGGAACTAGAACCTCTATCATAAACTCTCTTATAGCTTATATCTAGTGATGCTGATGGAGCCATTCAAAGAGCTGGACGGTTCCGCGTGGAAAACGGCTCCTCTGGTGAGGTAAGTGGCTAAAGATACTCACAGAAATCTGAAAAAAATAATTCAGCTTCAGTTATTCTTCATCACGGAAATATGTATTTGCAGTCATTTACTAAGGAAGAGGACTTGAAAAATGCTAAATAATATGAGAATGTAAGAATCTGAAAGGAGGGAGATGGCGGCTCTTTTCTCCCCAAAGTCTAGCTTAGCTCTTCTTTTAAGAGCATGCAATCTTGACAATTTTTTTTTTTTTTTTTCAAGGGAAAAGCTGGTATTCTGTTTAGTTTTGGTAACGTTTTGCTCACCTGATTATGTTAGAAGAAAAATATCTATCTTATCCTCTCAATAACACTTTGCAGTCCCTATATTACCATTTTATATTTGTTTCCTGGTGATACTGATATGTTCAAACTGACCTTTGTGCTTTTAAGTTTATTCCTTGGTGTGATGAGGAATTCATTTTTTCCTCCTTATTTGTCCTTTGGCAGCTATACTTAGCTTTTTAATCTCCTACTTAAAGATAAGTAGAGCCTGAGAACTCATCCCCACCAGATTCCTGTGCTGTTAAATTTGCAGTGTGTCCCCGCAGCCTCTCCAGTGACACTTAGGTTTCTACTTATCTTTGTTTTTTATCTTACTTTGCAAAAGTTTTTCAACTGTAAATATCATCTTAAAAGAAAGAGCACCTCATATTTTGGAAATATATATAAGGTCTTGGTAAGTTTGTATTGAACTAATACAAGTGAACAGTAAACTTATTACTGGTCATCTGTTTGCATCAGCACTGGCTGCAGAGTTTAAAGCAGTCTAAGTATTCTGCATTGATTCTCTGTGGGGTCATGTTCTGCACACTGTCTTTTTAGTTCAGTTTCTCACAGTTCAAAAGCTGGTTAGCTTGTGTCACAGAATGATTCTCTTGAGTGGGTGATGAATGGCCACATTGTGAATGGATACAGAGAATGGCTTTTCCTCTGCCTATGTCAGTTCTTCGAGGAAGAGAACTTGGCAATTTACCTTGACCAGCCAATCACAGAAATAACACTGAAGAACTTCCAGAGCATGGTCTGGTCTAGCAAGGAGTCCTTGAGAATTATTTTTGGAGAAAATAGAATTTGGAGGCAGAGGATTTTGAGGGTTTTTTAAATTTGATTTTTAAGTTTTAAATACACTGGTCTTCAAATTCCACACTGAAATACCTTCTTTTCAGTGGAAGACTAAGCTATTATCGACAAGAGTGGTGCAATATGAAAAGACTGTAGTTACTTAGAAAAGAAAGAGGGGGGAGAAAAAAAGAAAATGAGAAAATTTAATTTCGGCTGCACAACAACTGACTTCAGAATAATTCTTTGCTTTTTTTAAAAAATGGTATACAGCTAATACTCTTCTGGTGAATCGGCTACTCTTGATTGCCTTTTGCCTATATGATGTTCTCTAATTTTTTAAAATTTTTTTTTTCTCCTCCCCACTCAGCATTTCATCTAACAGTCTCCCAATTCTGTTTCAGAATACAGACTACACTCCGGGTACATGGCACAGAACGGATGTGCATTTGGAAAACCCAGAGTATCATACAAGATGGTATTTCAAGTATTTTTTAGGGAAAGGTAATGATTTTTTTGCGAATGGATTGAAGTTTTGAACAATGAAAATGCAATGTAGCTTTGAATTGCTATTATTTAAATATGGAAAAAAGTATGGTATTAATTTATTCATACATTTTCTGTCCTGTACAGAAAACACATTCTTGTTTCATATGGTTTTAACCTGAAGAGAGAGGATGGGTTTCTGTAAGCAGTGGAACCCCTGCTTTGTTTTGAAACCCTTCTAGGCCTTGAAGGCTATACCTATCTCTTGTTTTGTTTTGATTTTTTTACACATCTGTGTATAAATACGCAATTATGTAGACAAGTATATATTTTTACATGTGGATGCATATGTTTACACATTTATACGTGTTTCTCTGTGTGCGTGTGTGAGCAGGTGTGTGCGTCATCTTTATGGTTGATAATGCTTCTTGTTTTTCCCTAACAGTTCATCAGAATTATATAGGTACAGATGCAGAGAAGAACCCCTTCTTTCTGTCTGTTGTACTGTCTGACCAAAATAATCAGCGTGTTCCTCAATACCATTCAATACTTTGGAGAAAAACAGTAAGAAACAAATATTTAACTGCTGCTCTGACTTGTTTTTTGTTTCCTTGTTTGTTTTGAATATGTTTATCATACACTTTTTTGCTTTCTTCAGGATTTCAGTATTTAATACATATTTTCCATTTTATACAATAAGAACATATAATTCTATCATAGTAAATAAAACTAATCTAGCTTTGTAGATAACATTATACTAAACTTTCTGACAGAAATCCGTGATGCCAAATATTTTTAATTGTTTTTACCTGCAACTCTGTTATTTTTAGAAATGTTGCCTAAATTGTTCTTGATTATGTCCTGTGATCAATTTAGGTGATGACTTTATTTTTAGGATTTTCTTATATAATGTTAAGAAACTAGGCAGGTGTGATACTGGTTTCAGTAATACCGTTTAATGAATTTTTTTTTCACTTTAGATTCCATAAGAGCCTATTATCCAAGCAATTGATTAAAAACTCTCCTGTAAGCATACATGGTTCACTTTTCATTTTTGCTTTGGTTTGGTTTTTAAATAGAAATAGTTTGTAGTTTCTGGTAGTTTCAGCAGCCCTCATACCACATGCCAAGGTGGTCAAAACTAAGTAAAAAAAATTTTGCACCATTCATGAATTTTCACATTCAGGTTTTTTTTTTTTTCCTTTTTTTCCAAACCAGTAGTAAGTATGGCTAAGTAAAACTAGCACGGTTTTATTCTTGATTTTTTTACTTGATTGTTTTTATTAATATCCCTATTTGAATGTACATAAAAAGTCAGTATGTCCTATAATATCTCCTAGCTTTTCTCTTTATAGGGTACCCAGAAAATATGTCTCCCTTACAGCCCCACAAAAACATTATCAGTGAAATCTATATTAAGGTATGTATTTACAAATAAGTTATCAGTTATTTGTCTATATGCCTTTCCTGTAATTCATAGCTTGCATTGCATGATTTTCGTAATAGATTTATAAAGACAGTAGAACCAGGTTTATATTCTTAGTCACTGAAGGCAGCAAAAAGTGGTTTTGAAGCGTGTTCTGGCACGGACAAAGTGACAACTTCAGATGGGGAAAAATTCTTAGCACTTTGTCTTCAGCAGAGGGACTATTTTTGACTTAATTGGAAAACAGGTGCTAAATGAAACTGCAGTGATTGAGAATAAATATATTTTTACATTAGATAAACAGTTGTAAGGCACAGCAGATTTTGACTAGAGAGATGGTTATTATGTGGCCCTATGTCCTGATCCAATGTTGGGGAAGGTTTCGATATGATCTCAAGAGCGAGAGTAAAACACAAACTAGGTGGAATGCCGTCCACCCAAAACAATTTTTATTATTTAATGTGAAGAGTGGTAGCGATAGGACAGAATGGAAGGAAAAGACAGAAATAAAGCAAGCATCCAGAACAGAGTTGCAAGAATAGTCACTGCTGTGGATCCAACAGCGTCCTGTTGGTCCTCAGTCTTCAGTTTTTCGGTGGTGGGTGCACACAAGCAAAGTTCTCTGTTGCCTTTTAAGTTCATCTTATCAACTGATTAGCATATCTTCCCACCTTTAGTTTTTCCTCTGTTCCCACAGTTTTTTGCTGACTTCATGCTTCTTGATCAATCCAAGGTGCAAAGTCATTAGCAGTGCAATCATGGTGTCTGGTGTACACAGCAAGAGTCACAAAGTATTTGTCTTACACAGTGGAGCGAGTGATAAACTTTTGGTTTCACTCAGTCCATGTCCCCCCCATTTGAGGCATATCTAAGGAGTTTGACAATGCAGCTGTAAGGGAGTGAGGGGTGCATCCTTCAATACACTCCCACTTCCTTGGGTGACATTCCTTAGACCACAGCTTGTCCTTGAGGTTTACACACTCACAAGCAAGCTCTGAGACAATCATTTGACATTTCAGTCTCTCTCACCCTATCAGGAGGAAGCAAACAGGGAAGAAATCAAGAATTGTTTCTTCAGTTGATTGTCTCCCTGTAAGTCTCACTGTCGGGAGTGTTATGGTCACTGTCAGTGAAGCCAAGAAAATTCCTCCCAGCCAGAGTTTGTATGGCATGCTTGTCCTCTGTCCTGACTCTTGTGGCAGAAGATAACATAAAGTGGTCAAGCCCAACACAATTTCTATTTCTTTTAACATTATAATCAGCTGAAATGTCAGAAAACCTGTTGGCAAAGTGTTCATCCAAATTTAATCTTCAGTTTTTACTGTCTAATCATGTGGTGTGTTTTCTCAAATCTCTCACTGACATCTTCAAATGCATATCTTGTAAGGATTTTACTTCCTCTAGAAACCCTAAAAAGTGCCTTCATTTACTGAACAGGTAGTGTGTACCAGATAAATGGGCAGTCTGCAAGTCTTCAAAACCTTTGATCTGTATAGAGTATGAGGAAATGTCTCCTGCTTGGTATAATCTAGTCCAGTGGATAACAGTGCCAGTGCTGATGTGAGAGGAGAGTTCTGGGAACAGGGCATGTGTTGTGATGTGAAGTCAGTACCACCTGACCTGGATTTTTCTACAACTGCACAAGATTTCTGATGAGAGGTCCCAAACCACTGAATTTGCCAGAGAGGCTAGCAGGCCACTGAGCCTCACTTCTTAATTCTGATTTCCTGGGATGTGGCTCTGGTTTGGTGTTTCAAGATGGTGAGTTGAAAACACTTCAGATCATCTTCATCGAGATGAGCCAAGTTGTCCCGTCTTCTGACTCCTACAGCACTGGCTTGAAGTGTTCCTAGTTGTCAGTACTACATGCTGTACCTGCATAAGCACCTGATCTTCCATGTCTGCCCACCAATCGCTGAAATATCTCTTCCTAACATCCCTTTCTAACCCACCTCTCCCTCTACTCTCACCTGCATATGCTTTTCAGTCAGACATCCCAGAGGAGAGAAACTTTGTCTTCTGTTAGCTAGGGTCATAAATCTTTTGCTGAAACACCCTCACATGTTCCATCCTGTGATGCTCCAGTATTTTACAGAGTAAAATGCAGGCTTGTTTCAGACCTTGTTCCCCACTTCTCCCAGGCACTGTGCCACCTGCAGTCAGCTGGATAAATGTCATCTCCTTTTGCCCCCTTGGGCTTGGACTAAAATTTCTTTCCTGGCTGTTTTGCTTTTATGGTCCTTGAGCCTTCCCTCAGGCCTGATTGATATTCCTTTGATATTTTACCCTGTTCACAAGCTGGTGTGAATCTAGGTACAGACTGTCTCAAAGAATTTTACTTACATTAATCAATCTGTTTTTTTCTAAATTAATTGGAACATTTTAGTCCATTTCAAAAGGAACTAAAGCAAATCCTGTCTGTGTTGTGATCTAGCATTAGCAATGATGGAAAGGTGCATGAGATCTGACCTTCCTGTTACTTCACTGTGCCCCAGACAGACTGCATTTGGCACTCCATGAGATGCTCTGTGGTTCTGTAAATTAATGCTGGGGAAAAAAAATGGACAAAAATAACAGTAAATGCAGAAATGTGAGTTAGGAGAAAATGCTATAAATTAGATACTTCTGGTTTTTGAAGCAGTTGATCTTGCTTTTTATTTGAATACTTTGTTCTGTTTGTGGATCTTTGGCATATGAATTTGATGCTGAACTGCTCATTTTTTGTTTGACTTGCCTTGAATTATTTTAGGAGAGAAAAAAACCTTAGAAGAGGTTATTGAGTCCTCCTAAAATGCTCTCTGTAATTATGTGTAAATCCAAAGTGAAGGTGATGGAATAAAGCTCTGTGTTTTAGAAGTAAATACAGTACATTTAAACTTGATCTCATGCAGGGTCTCACTAATTTCTGTTTTTAAAATCCAAAATAAGATTAGGAAGCCTTGGAGGTTAATATTATGAAAAAGAAATGGCTATTCCATAGAACATTCACAGAGTCACAGAATCGTCTAGGTTGGAAAAGCCCTTGAAGCTCCTCCAGCCCAACCATGACCCTCACCCTGACCCTTCCCAACTCCCCCAGATCCCTCAGCGCTGGCTCAGCCCGACTCTTCAACCCCTCCAGGGATGGGGACTCCCCCCCTGCCCTGGGCAGCCCATTCCAACACCAAACAACCCTTTCTGCACAGAAATCCTTCCTCAGAGCCAGCCTGACCCTGCCCTGGGCAGCTTGAGGCCATTCCCTCTTGGCCTGGCGCTGGCTCCTTGGCTCCAGAGACTCATCCCCCCTCTCTGCACCCTCCTGACAGGGAGTTGCAGAGGGCCAGGAGGTCTCCCCTCAGCCTCCTCTTCTCCAGACTGAACCCCCCCAGTTCCCCCAGCCGCTCCCCAGCAGACCTGTGCTCCAGACCCTGCCCCAGCTCCGTTGCCCTTCTCTGGCCACGCTTGAGTCATTCAGTGGCCTTTTTGAGGTGGGGGGCCCAAAATTGAACCCACTCAGCGTGGGGTGGCCTCACCAGTGCCGAGCCCAGGGCTCAGATCCCTTCTCTGTCATTCCGTGTAACAGAGGCTCTTTGAACAGTTCCTTTTGTAACCAGTTCTAACTGCAACGAGTTCCTGGTTTAATGTTGAGATGTATACTTGCCCTTCTATAAAGCAATATTTCATTTCCATTTCAGTGCTATGAGTCTTGACAAATTTGAGAAGAGCCCAAGGGAAATTTTTCATCCTGAGATACAAAAGGTAGGAAATTACTTCTTTTTTTGTTTGGTTGTTTTTCTTTATTATTTTCTGGAAACATAAGTCATTAAATATAAATACTACTAGCTTTTTCTTTCAGTAGCAGGATAATAATGATGAGTAGGGTTACATTTTACTACAGAGTAAACTGTCTTTATCAGTTGAACTGACCACTTCTAGAAAATGTAAATATACAGGGATGTTACAGTTTTATTTGCATTATATTTAATACAAGTGTGCTAAAGATATTGTTTTGTTTACAGGATTTATTGGTTCTTGAAGAGCAAGAGGTAAATGTAAACTTAACTGCTCCTGGCTCACAGACCTGTTCAACGAATACATCTTTGTATTTGAAATATTTACACTGACATGCTTGTGACAACTTAGAAATTAATTGCTTATTGCCCTAAAAAAAGTATTTCTTTGCAACATATGAGATTAAAAATAATTTAAAGCACCAACTTAATGTATCATATTAATGGATCACAATTTAGTATATCATAAAATCCATCATCTGTGATCAAAGGTAAATTATTAGGTATCTGCTACTTGAGCATGTACTGGAGTTGATATGAAATGTATATTCCCATGCATAGGATGTATACAAAGAAGTCCTTAGAGAAAACATTATTTTAGGTCTTCTGTTTGATTACCTGTTTATCATGTAATATTTGGGTTTATTTCTCAGGGATCTGTGAATTTTAAATTTGGAGTCCTTTATGCTAAAGATGGGCAGCTTACAGATGATGAAATGTTCAGCAATGGTGGGTTTTTCACTTTTTTTCTTGATTGTTTTATTCATCTGAATAAAAAAAATTAAATAGTGCTTACATATGGAAGACAGAAGGAAGGTGATGTTTATGTGAGCAGTAGTTTTGTTAGATTTTCATGTTTGTGTTGGGTGATAAATTGTGGTGCAGAGTCTTCTATGTCCATAAAAGATTACTGTAGGAAACCTGCTATTACAACTTGGATCATACTGAAATTTCTTTTCTAGAAATAGACTATACAACAGAAGATTTAGAAAATGGAGCAGCTGAAGGAAGCAACTCATGTTATCTGCAAAAAGTCACTGTTGTTTCTAGTTCTTTCACGTTTTTGCAGCATGATCATGTTCTTCTATGCACTTGAACAATGTCTTGGAGTTATTAGCAAAAGAGGTCACTGTCTAATGATGCCTGTTCTGCAAGGCTGGAATACTGTTTCTGTAAAGGTAGAGGCTTGGATGATGTGAGGAGAAACAAATTCAGCTGAAACTTTGGTCCTGGGAGCAGGACCTGTTCCTGTATTATAGGTGTTCTATTATCACATGTGCTTTTCTGTTGTACTGTTTCTCCCTTCCACATGTAGAAACTGGAAGTGAAAGCTTTCAAAGATTTTTGCATCTTTTGGGTGACACAATTACTTTGAAAGGCTGGACAGGCTACAGAGGAGGACTGGACACTAAAAGTAAGAACTCACCTGAATCAAAAGGGGGCTGACTGCAATATAAATGTTTTTGCTTATTGCATGCACATATTATATATATCGTAGAAGTAATACAATCCCTAAAGAGACTTCCTTATGCGCATGCTTAATGCTCTGCTTCACCAGGGAAAAAATCAGATTAGCTTAAATCACTGGTATGGGATGCAGTTGAAGAAAAGTATTTGTATGACCTGTATTATCAAGAAGAATGGTTTCATTTTTTATATTGGAATGGGGTGAAGAATAACCTGACACGTTACTTACTTCATGATAGTACAGCATCATGTCTTGAAGGAACCATATGATTTCAGGGGGCTGGGTGAAGGATGTCACAGGTTTAATTTAATGTGTGAATATGCAGATTAGGTTGCAACTCAGGTTTGAACCCACATAAAACATGCAGCATGGACATTTTCTAAAATGGATCAGAAAAAAGGATGACTAAAGAAGGTTTGGTGGAAGGACCTGAAATATCTTTTGATCTTTAGAAAACTTAAAAGGATATATTCCTGCTGAGAATGTTATCTTCCCTTGCAGATGATACAACAGGAACGTGTTCCATCTATACTGTTTTTCAAGGGCATGAAATTATGTTCCATGTTTCAACCATGCTACCATATTCTAGAGAGAACAAGCAGCAGGTACACGGTTCTTGCTTTCTCTCTCTTTTTTTTTTTTTTTTTTTTTTTCATGATTCGCTCTCATTTTA